TTTGGGTTCCACATGAGCTGAACCTGGTGTTGGGACTGCTGGCAGTATGGCTGCTGGTGGCGGTGTTGGTGCCACTGCTTTGGGTTCCACAGGGACTGCTTGCAGCATGGAACCTCGAAATGCGACTCCTAGTGGCGGTGCTGCTGCTAATGCTAATGCCTTGGGTGGTGGTGGTGGAGGCACAGGTTTGGATGAAGCTGGTGAAACTGCCGCTGGTGTTTGCTGTGGCTGTGCTGGGCATGCAAGGTGTGTGCCCGTCGATGGCTTTGGAACAGGGACTTGTCGCAGCCGGGCAATCCAGGCAGACCGGTTTCCATCCTCCACCTTTGTGTTTTGGTTTGGCTGGGATGGTGAAGACTTTTTTTGGAGTGACAGGGCCATGCATCGGGCTAGCATACTTGTGGGCACAAGCTTTGAAAGCCGAAGCCTTTGCAGGACTGGGCATGGCTGGATGCTCCTGCTTGCAGGCCACCTGGTATGCTCGTGGTGGTGGTGTTTGTCCCGGTGAAGCATTCGGTACAACGCTAACCGAAGGCATACTGTATGATGGTGACGATGCAGCTGGCGAAACTGACCTTGGGTGTTCTCAGGTGATCTTTTATGTCCCGGGGTATACTGCACAATACACATAGATAGCAGCCAAAACACTCACACATCGACATTTGGGAATCAGCCACAGGGTGGACATTCATCTGGTTCATCATGCAATAGGGAGACACGGCCTCCATCAACAAAGAAAGTCTCATTTCAGGAGGGCTATAGTTACTATCACACATAGTTCTTGCTTTACAGAAACACTTGAACTGACTGTATATAACCACGTTTGCAGGATGGCTCTGGCTCATCACCCTGAGGCAGGGTGCCTCTGTGAGCTGGGAGTCTGTCGCAGGGACGGTGTCCACTTCGGTGTCCAGTGTTCCATCAACATCCTCCCGTAGAAAAAAAAACAAATGCACGTATATTGTGTTTCAAGACACAATCACATGTCCCTTTGAAGCATTCACGCAGCTGATATGTTCCTGTCGGTGAGTCGGCGTTGGTGGTGGAGAGACAAACAGCCGCGTTGGCCGTGGCGTGACCAACCCATTGGGAGGTGGAGGTTGGGTCGCCTCCCACACGAGGCGCGCGCGCGCCGGATGCGCATAAACATAGCTAGCTAGCTAGATATAGAACACATATAAACGCCTTTGGCATCATAGCCCCGGAGTGCTGCCCAAAGAAGCCCACGATGTCAGTCGCTGTAGCTTGGGTATAGTGTATTTCCTGCCGAGACGCATCCTTCACATCTAGTTCAACCCTGTGACTGCTTGGCTATGCACTCCAAAGTTCCCCTCCTTCTTCAAGCCAGTTGAAACCATCAGCAAGTGGCCAAGACTTTTTTGTGAACCCAAGACACACGTGTGCGTTCGCGCCCAAATGGCTAGTGGAAAAGTGAGCATTTTCTATCCGACGCTATCCGATGTAATGGGGACCTCAAGAACCTTTTGCGTGGAGGCCCCCAAGTGAGCCATCCGACGCCATCCGACGTACACTGTCCTAAAGCTATCCGACGCTATCCGATGTAATGGGGACCTCAAGAACCTTTTGCGTGAGGCCCCCAAGTGAGCCATCCGACGCCATCCGACGCACTGCTAAATTACCATCGAACTCATCAACATGAAGTAAACGCTGTTCCCCCCAGAAATACTTGATCCGGTACAATCTTTAAAGATACACATTCCATGTTAACAAGTCCGAGTGCAGCTCAAACAACCATGATTCACATCATCATGAGCTCACAGTTTTGGGCTCCCATCACATATGTGTATAGGCCGTTTCAAGGTGCAAAAAACAGCCGTGAATTATCAATTGATTGGCCACATTCTAAAACAGTCATTAATTATGCATTGTTTGGCCACCTGCTTGAAAGCACATTTGATTCCATAGAGAACTCCTTGATACAGTCCCTCCTAGCAATCACCATGTGCGCCCAACATGTGCATCATGCAGCAAGGTCGGCCATCAAAGTCTCCTTGGACTTGGAGGCTCGCTCCTGGATGCGGGTTTCAAGCCAAGCCTCACACTCGGAGAGCTGGGCATCTTCCCATGGATCGTTGCTGAAGTCAAGTAGCTGCATCCTATTTGGTCTCTCACGGGCATATGTCTCCCATGCATGAAGAACCTTGGTCATGCAGCATTCGCACACACAAGGGGTCCACAAGATATCAAACAAGTTTGGTACCTAACACACCAGTCAACACCGGTACCTAGATCTGTGTTGTACCTTGTCATCTTGTCAAAAGATAAGCGCGTTTAGACCACCTTGGTATGAAAGAATTCGCTACATAGAGTTTAGAGTTCATCATTATACATACCAAGAGAGGTCAAGAGAACACAACTACAACTATATATGCATGTATTAGTTTCGTGTCCTTTTGACTTGTCTTGGTAGCATTATACTTTGTATAGAATTCACATGTTGATGTCCCTGCTTTATGCATAGCATCTCAAATCTAGCTCGCAACATGTTGCGACTCCAACGCATTAAGAGTTCTTTAAACAATGCTAAAGTATAGAAAGTGAGTGGGGTGGGAGAGGTGTGAGACTGCTTTGCGGTCACAACCAGACAGAAAGGGAAGGTGAACCCAAGGCCATAGCCGAGTGCTTTATACTTTTAACGAGCTGCACTGGGAACTTTTGGCAAGGTGTGCTTGGGTGGGACCAAGGGGAAAGCAAACTCTCTTTGTGACGACATGCCTTTCACCCAGCAACCTCGCGTCCAAACCTTCCAGGATATACTTGAGACGCCTTGAGTGTAGCAGATCCACGAAATCGGGTTTGCCCTGCCCGGTTTTTGTACTTGATCGTCGTGTCGGATTTAGCAAAGCGGGATCTATCAAGAGTCCTGACAATCCATATTCACTGCAGTTAGCACGTACACCCTTTCGAGAGAACGACTGTTGAAGAATCACGAACGCATGAAACCACAAATTATTGTTTTTTTTCCGTCTTTGAGCACCAGCACCAGTCCTGTGAAGATGTTGAACAAAGGGATCATCAGAGTACAACTTGATGGGTTTCGGTGTCGGAGCCTTGAACATGCCCAACCACGTGTGGCAGCGATGGTGGACGGTGTTGTCCAAGAGCTTCCGGAACCGCGGCATCAGGTCTATCTGAGCAGTGGCGGTCATCACAGAGTGTGAGTGTATGTGCGGACACCCAATCGACCCAATGTTTGAGTACACAGGTGTCCCTGACCATAGGATGAATGACACTTGCAGGAAGAGAGAAGACCAACAAACAAACATATTTTTCTTAGCGACGTGCAACACAGTCAACTGAATCAAGTTCAACAATTAAGGAGAAGACTATGCTCGATAGTGGGTTTTCCAGCATCCAATGCCCTTGAAAGTGAAGCACTGTGATCATGATGAGTACAGCCTGGGTCACAAGTCAAGTGCATGTTATCTAGTTTTCTGCATCTCTCTCTCTCTCGTATGCGCTTGCTGTTTATCTTTTCCAACCCCTGCGAATATGATAAGAACCTGACCCTCACCAGCATCAAATTGGCCTTTGCCACACTTGGATAATGCCTTGGGGTGGGATGTGTTCATAGTATGTGAGCATCGCAGCATGCACACCTGTTTGGTTTGTTGCATATGACTACAGGCTTGACACTCCCTGCCAAGCGGATTTTCTGCTGTGCGTCCTGAAGTTCCTCCTTAGATTGCGAACAGACACAATGGCACCCATGCAATGCAGGTTGAAGTTGAAATTAAACACTATAGCTGTCCTTCAAGGTCAATGTTAGACAAGTATCGGTTGATTTGTGTAAAAGAAGAGCAAACTACCCCCATAGTGCAGAGCCCTCCACGAGCAATGTGGATTGCTGCATAAAGAGTGCGAATAAAACCCACAGGGCTGAGAATGTCCTGGGTGCTGTGCCAAGAAGAGTCAAGAAGAAGCAAACACAACATGCAGCATAGCTGTCATGGCTGTCATTGTTCTTGTTTACTCATCCCTCAGGTGAACCAAGCCACATCAAGCTCATTGATCTCTATGTCCATGGAGCATGTGGCATACCCTTGGGCTTTGAAACTCCTCGATATGGCACACTTGCCAGCAAAAAGGTCCACGTTCTTGTACTTACGAGGCGGAGGTGGAAAGGCCTCAGACCACCAATCATGGGGCAATATATATGTGAGTTGTGTGAGCATTATCTACAGTTTATGCATATACGTGTCCATGCAGAATGACAGGATTGAAGCAGGCGACTTTCATGATGACCTGCACCAGGCCCCACAATCTCACCGGCATGTAGCCTGGCCGAGATGGCCCATCGCCCAAGTGACGAGGTATCCTCAAAGGAATCTCAGCCTGGTCAATCTCATCATGTTTCCTGCAGAAGGCTTACATACGGTTCCAACATGTATGTCTTCATGAGCACTGTTTGTCCACAATGCATGCAAACATATTAAACATATTGCGCACAACCTATCCACAATTCCACCTGGCCCTGCCTACTCGGCATTGTCTATCCCGGCGCGTAAGCAAAAAACAAAGCCAAGCTAGCCCTTCAGAACAAAAAGAAATGCTGCCATCAGTTCAACACACTGAAACAACTTGCTGTCCAAAATGAAACAATGCTCAGTGCATATGTAACGATGTCTATAGGACAACAAACATAGATGCAATACAGAGAACATAGATGCAATACAGAGAAACAATAGTTTTTTTGCTATAGCCTTTGCATAGCTAAACACCCCTAGCCCTAGCGCAGATTGGCTGAACTAACTGAAAAGAAAATTATATACAACCAACACACACATATTGCAAACAGTTGAAAACATAGCCCAGCCAATGTCACGTGTCTAGGTAACACGGTGCGCCAACATAATTTAAATAGGTTTGTGCACCTGGTGCTTCAAACCATGCTACCATGCTGCTTTGCTCATTGTGCTACCTCTCATTTGACATCAGGGGCATCTGCTATTTGGCTTGTGCCCTTGTTGTCGTTCGGAAGGTTCCACACAGGTTGTCGACCAAGCCAGTCTCGCGGAACTTTGTTGCTGCAAGCTTCCCAGCCTGTCGTGCATACTCCTCACCCCACCGTGCGTGCTTGCGATAAGCGCTCGAGTAGACGTGGTTCGCAGTCACATGGCTGGGTGGCTTCAAGTCTGGTCCAGAGTAAACTGGTTGGTCACTGGCGCCAGCGTTCGCAGGCACATGAGTCTCACGATCACCTTGGTTCACACGGGACCTCTTCCTGGAATTCTTGGGGGGCATAGGCAGCTGCACTGGGTTCACCATCAGGCAGAGACATGCCAGCACTTCCACTGCGCGCCTTGCCCCTGCACTTCTTTGCTCGCTTCCCAGTCTTTGGTGTCTTCTTTACAGCTTTCACTTTCTTCTTGTTAGTCTTTGCTTTTCCCCTGTTTGCAGCCTTTGCTGCCCTCTTCGGCCCAGGTTTGGCCTTGGCCTTGCCAGGCTTCCTGCCACGTGTTTTGCCGACATCAGCTCCCTGAGTTGCAAAAACGGGTGGTTCTGCTGTTGAAGCTTTGAGCTTCACCGCCTCCATGAATTCTGGTCCGTTGGGCAGTGATGCCAATGCCGATCCCTTTCTGACTTTCGATGTCGCTTTCCTTGCTGCCTTTGCTCTAGGTTCTTCAGGAAGAGGATCCTTTGGTTCCACACTGGCAGATTGTCGCGCAGCGATCCGGGCTAGTAGCTCGTGCGGAGTTGGCAGATCCCCAACAACAAAGGCAACAGGTGGAGTCTTTGCTTTTGTGGCTTCAGCATCATTGAAAGAACGCGGCACATCTTCTGGGTACTCTACACTTGGTTTTGTGGCTTCAGCACCATCCAAAGCACTCGACACACCTTCTGTGTACTCTCCAACCTCACCAGCTGGCTGATCAGATTTGGCTGTAGGGATTGTTGCACCATTCGGTTCAGATACAGGCATGCTGGCGCTGGCTTCGGGATGTGACGACTCCTTGCGGACAGCACTAGTTACAAACAAAGCTCTTGCACCATGATGCACACATATACCAACATACACCAAAATTTCAATCTGCGGTTGCTGCTCCTGCAAACTACTAAACGCGGTACAAGGAGGCGCACTCCACAAGCATGGAGGAATCTGGATATCGGGCGCACATCTCTGTAGATTTTGATGAAACGCTCCCCCTGGCTGGAGTTGGAAGTTGTGCTGCACAAGAATATCAATCACCTTCGGGATAATTTCCTGCACCCACACACATAATATATGTGCTTGATATATCACATAACACAACTGTCCTGCGCTGCATTGTGTCTTGCAAGGGTCTTCATTGTAGGTGGTCCAGTTTCCTGACTGTCTAAAGGAGCAGGTGATTGAAGAACATATATTATCACTTTCCTTACCATGAACTGAGTTACATGTAATCAGTTGAAACTATATGTTACAGCAGGTGTTTAGCAGCAGTTCAGGAAGTCATGTCGTTATTTTTTTTGTGTATGCAATTGTATGCATTGGGTTTGTTCAACCCGTTCTCCTTCTCCGGCAGTTCCAAGGCCAGACATGCAAGAGAGTTTGCCAGTGAAGATGCCTGGCCGGGATTCTCAAGTTCACTGGGTGGATGTTTTGCAGCTAGGCCACACATGTCAGAAAGGCAGGATCATCTGAAGCATATGTTGTTGATGGAGTTTCTTCACACAGGGGATGTCCCAAAGGTACCTGCCCATGACGGCCATGTGGGACTCGCACCGGCTAAAGGCAACATGCAAAACACCACAAAAGACAGCCTGACTGTCAGTCCAGATGCTCTCCATAGGATTGGCCACTACCTGCACAGAGCCAGAACATTACAATTGTGCACACTATGTTTGAGGAAGAAGGCCTGGGTCTCCACCCATGCAGCATGGGTTTGTTCGGGTTGCATCTCTTGGGGCACAACCTGAACAGGACAGAGACATTGAACGTGAGTACACACAAGATTCAACATGAGTATGCAGAATGATGTTTCTTTTTACTCTGCCAAAAAATATAGGATATGTGCCTGCGTCGCGTGGTGGACTTCCATTTGACCGTCCACTACCTGTGCAGTGGAACATTGAAGGGCAAATTCTTTTTGAATGAGCTATGCTTGGTGGACATAGGCCTGGGTCTCAACCCATTGGGTATCATCCAACACCTGTTCAGAGTGGGGCCCAGTGTAGTGTAAGTTTGATTGCTTTGCCGTTGTTGCAAGTGACGCCAAAGCCTCCACCACATCGTCACACTCCACTGCACCCACCTGGTCCCAGGCATATGATGATGACTTGGTTTTGCAGCACAGGTCGATACCCTAGCCTTGTCACTGCCAAATGCTGGGACTTCATAGTCCACCTGTTGCACAGCCCATGTATATAAATTCCGCATCACTGAACACTAGATGCACCGTACTTGCAGTTAGTGCGGAAAACTGCCTGCATCTCTGAACCATGAGTGGCCAGGGTAGCTGTAGCGGTCATGACCTGAAACATATTGGGATGACAGTACTTGCCGACGCAAAAGAATGGTTCGAGCCTGTATGTCATCATCATGGTCATTGTCCTTATGTTGGCACGCTAGTTTCGACAAAACAATAAAAACAAAAGGTCAGCAGATTCAAGACCCTGACTGCATGTGGGTCCACCACAGGCATAGGTGTAGGGACCTGTAGTGAATGACTAGGGTATGCACGCTGTAACACAGCACTCGAAAAGCTCCACAAAACCTGACTGTCTTACCAGCCTTGTTGTCACCAGCTTCATGGACATGGTATAAGACAGCCCCGGGTACGTCAGGATGACGTCGCCACTCACACGCCTGGATACACTGTTGGATCTTCTGCTGATCGCCATTCTGTAATCCCAGAGCCTGCAAACAGAGACAACTCAGCACAGGTGTTGCATGATTTTTTAGACAGTTGCCTCAGTGTGAGCAGCCCACTCACCCACACGATGAGATGCATTTGCGGTTGCACCATCACCCACCTTCAACATCATAATTAAAACAAACAAAGAAGACACACATAGACGTTGGGTTGATGGCCTCAGGTGGGCGGTCGGTGTCAGCGGGTTCTGCACATGGACCTGTCACATGACCCGACACAAAGAACAATATAATGAACAATACATCGAAAACATAACCAATTGAGACATCCACAACCCCCAAAATTGTGTGTATGCATGGTTCGGCCTTGTTCATCCTGGATGGGGTCCATCTCATCTTCACCATCTGAAACCTCCCAAACTTCGACCTCCTCTGGTAGCAAAATGTCCTGCGGCACCTGAGGTAAGGATTCTCCTGGAGACAGTGCCTGAGTTCCAGAGGCCTGAGAGTCTGCAGATTCGGCTGTTTTCTTGGCTGCCTGCTCCAGCTTGTATTCAGTGGTACATGTATGCCGAGCCTTTTTTAGGGTTCTTCTCCAACACACTCTGCAACTGCGATGCAATCTCAGTCACCTAGGTTCTATCATGTGGACCCATATGGGGCCAAAGGTGCCATCCATTAAGAACATGTGTTTTGCAGTAAATACTCATTCCCCGGAATGCAGTGGAGAAACCTTTTTCTTGTTGAGACTCTTTCGCCAGTACTTCCTTGCATAGGCCAGCAGCGCATAGAGAAGGTATGCCTCCTGAGCGTGGCTGAGGGGGGAGCTTCTGTTTAGTGGTGTCACACCGTGCCATGCTCGATTTTACACATCACATCATGGTTGCTTTAGATGGTGCACATCATGACATCATACCTTATAATGCACAAAAGGTTCGGTGTTTGCCCACTTTTGCTTGTCTCTGACATAGCGACACTTGCTGAGTTTAAACTCGCACTCAAGATCCAGGTTGGCAAAGACATTCTCCAAAAACTGAATGGAGAATTCACCTGCTCGAGCAAAGTACGGTTTTTTCAGGGATCGTGCGTGGATGCTATCCTGCTGCTTGCATCATGCGATGAACTGTATAGGTATTAAACGTATATACAAAAAGAAATAGGCCTCGTGGTGACAACTCCCCCATACAATGCCAGAATGAGGGGCAAATACCGGACCAAGTCATCA